AAGTGGCTGATTATCTCTCTTTGGCTTTCTTATGTTAAACTGCTGCATAGTTAGTCACTGAAAATACTGTTTTTGCTTTTTCTTGTAACCAGTTGCCACAGCGACATGTAACTGAAACTGGGAGAGGAAGGCAATCATGAGTAGAAAGAAGGAAGCTATGAGATTGCTAATATGATGAGCACATCTCTTATGTTGATGAAAATTATTTTATGTATTTATCTAAAAGATGAGGAAACACAGGACTGAGTAGCAGTCAGCTTCCTCTGAATGCTTTGACCAGTGCGTTAAGAGTATCGGCCTTTGCAGGGTAGATTATCCATCAGATGTCTCCGTGTGAGGAGAGGTTTAGTGTAGAGCAGCTGATAAAGTAGTTTCCCACCAAAGCTGTTGTATATTAACTTTCATTTTAAATTAAATTATTTGAGTCTCTCTTACCCTTTCAAAACAAACCATTTTCCTCATCCTTCTGTTGCTTTTGTAAAGGCAGCCTATTTTTAATGGCGTAATTTACACTTCAGCCTGAGCTATGGTTTCAGGCTGGGAACTGTGGGTGCTATTCTAAAGGTTCAGTTGAAGAGGGGCCTTTCCCTTTCTAAAGACAAGCAGGGAATTGTACAATGCCTCCATATCATGTTTGTAGTGCATGTCACAGTGTTTTACAGTCGGATACAAGTGGGGCTGGGGAAGAGAAGTAGTACTGGCTTTCTCAGTTGCCTGTGGCACGAATAAAACACCTTTGAAAAAAGTTTTAACATTGTGTAATCTCGGAATGTAGCCCCCAAAAAAGGAAAAAAACCAAGAGGGGATATGACTGGTGGTGCCAAAACATCAAAAGGCTGCAGTGGTCATCAGCGTGAAACCTGATGCTTCTTCTGTAGGACCAGCAGCTACTGCATTTCGTGGGGGCACAACCACCTTTTTAAGAATTTTCAAATTCTTCATTCAATGTACTTTTAATACTTTTAATAACTGATAGATTGAGGGAAAAACAACGTGCTGTGAGCGACACTGAGCTGTTCTTAAGACCTCAGAACAGTGGTTCAGGCTGCAGCAAGTTACAGTCTAAGAACTGTGGGTTTAGTTTAATTGTGTTAATTGTTTAAATATTTTGAGAGAAAAGCGTTTAATGTAGTCCATTTCAGGATGCTCCTTGGGAATTTTGTCTTAACAAATTCTCTGTTACATGTGAAACCTGGGCCTGAAGAACATTTCTCATCTTCCTGCTTGCTTTCTGTGGTCGTCGTAGCAGTGGCTTTTTTTTCCCCTATGTGTCCAAAATCAGTTGTGATAGGGGAGACCGTAACTCTGGTAATATCTTCCAGATGTATGTTCCTACATTCTCTGTGGGCTGTCTTCAATAGTCGTCTTGCGCCCTGGGCCTGAAGAACATTTCTCATCTTCCTGCTTGCTTTCTATGGTCGTCGTAGCAGTGGCTTTTTTTTCCCCTATGTGTCCAAAATCAGTTGTGATAGGGGAGACCGTAACTCTGGTAATATCTTCCAGATGTATGTTCCTACATTCTCTTCTTTGTGGGCTGTCTTCAATAGTAGTCTTGCGCTTATTTGGCAATCTTAACAGGGATATAAAAAATTAATAAGTAATGAGATTGCTCATTGCAACGAGATTCATCTGTTTTTTCTGAAGAGAAAGCACAGGTTCAATTGATACGCTTGTGTTTAATGTGTGTTCTAAATATCTGGTATTTTTTTCTCCCAGTACTTACTGTGTTTGAATTGCCATTAGAAAATAAAACACTACAGAAAACTGTTCTTGCCTGATGTTCTTATACTTGGAAAAAATTCTAAGGTGGACAGATACCTTAGCAAAAAAATGACTTGCTGAGACGTTTTGTGTAGTTCTGGGAGGCGAACTAAGTTCTTGCCTCTGTGTGTGGGATTTGTCAGTGTAGTGTAGCAGTTAATCCTGTCTTGTGCAAGTCAGATCCTGGATTGCAAAACTATAATCTTCAAACAGCCCTCCCTTACCTGCCTCAAATATATACTTTTTTTTTTACTCTTCGAGAACTTTTTAAAAATTACATCTCTCTGCTCTACATTCCTGTTCTTTTTTTTCAACAAACTCCTTTAAGACCTCAAATAATTTAAAAATTCTAGTTTGAAAATTTGGTTTCAACCGTTACAAATTTAGTTCAAGCTCAGGTAGCAGAGAGGAACTTGTTCAAGACTGGTGCGTACCTGTATGCCTTATTTCATACTTGCGTTCAACTTTACTGTGACTGAATGTATCTTTGTGAGTGAGAACCTCTTTCCCAATAGGATAGTGCTATCAAGAGTGGGAGCTTCAAAATCAATACCCAGTCTGTACTACTTCCAGGGTTCTACAGCAGCAGATGAATCTGGTCTTATTTCCTCCAAACAGTTGTATTGTCTGTGAAAATTTGAAGTGTTTCAGATAGTAAAAGTCTACCTAGGAGTATCAGAGTAAGCAAAAAAAGGTGATCAAAGAACTGTGCTATAGTTGCTGGATTCCTAGAGTCTAACTGCAGATGTAACATCCTCATTAATAAGATCGTATTGTAGAGGCTGTATAGATAACTGCCACGTGAAGAGCCTCTGACCTCTGTATTTTGAGAAATTAAGGAGTGATTGGTGGTATATTGCCACCTCCAAAGTCTGATGTCTAAATGAAATATGAACAGCCAGTTTCTGTTTGGTTTTATTTGGAGGGAAGGCAGAGAGGAGCAGATTCCTACCACTTGTTAGGTAGTTTCTGGCCTCCACATTACCTTCTGTTTATTTGTATTTTGAAAGTTGGAGAATATCTTCTGTGAACATCTTTCCTAAGCTTATTCTAGCATTTTACTATTGTAATTATCTATGAATGGGATGGATCGTTATGTGAATGGGCAAATGTACTTAAATCTGTAATTAAAAGTGTTTACGTAGCCGTGCCACATCTGATGGGCATGAATCCAAGGCACCTTTCTTCATGTTAAGTTAGGATTCTATGATCTTTCCAAATAGGTATATATATGGCTGTGCTTTTTTTTTGACTCTGTTCAGTAGGTTTTGCAGTTTGCAATAGAGAGATGTAAAAGTAATTATTTGATTTTGATTGCATTCTATAATTAATTGTAATCCTGTTGTGTTTGAAGTTTAATATGTTCACATCGAGGTCTGTTCTGCATTGAGTGTCTTTTTGGAGCCTGCCTCTGCCCTTCAGTGAAAGACTTAGAAGACAGTCCTAAGTCCATCTGCAGATTTTCTAAGCTTTAAGTTGAGCTAAAATTTTTCAAGAATGCCTAACTGGCTTAGTTATTAATTGAAAAACAATGTCACTGAAGAACCTGAAGGATGCAACGGCACTGTATTTTGAAGAAGACCTGTGTTTGCTCTGCCTTTACCCTGTGATGACTGAAAGCTTTGTAGCTACAGTTAGTGTAGCGCTGAGTAGTCTATTGCACCTTACCTTCTAAGCAGTCCAGCAAAAAACAACCAGGGATAGATGACCTTTGGTGAACTCAGGGTAGCCTCAACTTGTATGTCTGCCTGAAAATAGCATTCCAGTTTCCCGGGTATTCTTAAAATAATTTTACCCAAGGTTTACTTAGATCTTTACATTTTCTTTAGATATTTGACTACTTTTCTTCTATCACTTACCTGGGAAACTTTTATTCTTAATATTAAAAGAGAAAAAAGCAGAAAAATACTAGTATGTGTATACGTTCATTATTTTTATTTAAATGCCTCATTGTAGTGCTCTACAAATCAGACACTTTTTGAATTTAATTTTGCCTATTTTGGTATTAAATTTTATTGGAGAATCTCTGATAAACCTACTACCATCCATTGTAGAGTGTTGCTGTGGGTAGTTATTTACAGAGTGAAGAATTAACAGATTTCTGTTCATTGATACTGTCCTTTCTGTAACTGTTTTAGATCCAGCTCAGGGAAGTCCTTTTTTGTCTCTCCAACTCACCCCCTGCCTCCAAACAAATGAACAATCCCCCTAACAATACAGGTGGTTGGTGCCTTGGAGCATCTTGTGTTAATTTTGCAAGGGCTGCCTCTGGTAACAAATCCCTGCAGTATCATACAAAGACAAAACCTTCTCATTCTACAACCATTAACTTTTTTTTAAATTTTTTTGCTGTGAGTTCAAGATACTGTAGGCACAGACAGGTGAAGATCTCTTTCAGATACACTTTTTTTTGAATGTAAGTTTGGAGAGGTTAGTGTCATCTGTGAGACTTGGACATTTTAACGTGTCATTATTGAAAAAATAGGAGTCAAGTTGTTGTGTGTGAAGTTCATATAGCAATTTCCTAGAGTATTTGTAAACAGTATATGTAAACAGTATTTGCATCTGTTAAACAGTATTTTCTCCAAAATTGTTTATTTAATCAAGATATTTTGCTTAACTGTTTGTATCATCCTCTCTTGCGTCTTTTCTCTGTGGATATTTTCATCGTATGCATGGGGTAAAGTCATAAGTGTTCTGCTTTACGTTTTTTGATTGCTTTATTTACCAAAAATTTAATATTAATGGGTGAGTAATACAAGCTTTTTCTTTGCAAGTTTTTATGTAAAAAGATTGAAGATATATTGTCTTTAAAATACAAATTCTGTGTGAAGATGGCAACAAATGATCTGAAAACTGTTGTAGGGATTTAGAGCTTTATTTCTGATTTTATTTTCAATAGGAAAATTATTCTGAAATGCATATGAAGCTTTACTCTCAGCCCTAATCTGGGATTGCTCTTGAGATAATTATCATGAAAAAAATTGATACCCTTTAGCTTTTTGAAGTACCTTAACGTATTTGGTAGAAACTACAGTGTCAAGCAGATGTATTTAATTGTAATCTACTGCTTGGAAATAATTATACTGAAAGGAATGTCATTGAAAGAAATTAGTAATATGGTGATCACTACTGTTGTTATGTTATACATTCAAATATATCTGATGTTTAACTTCCATAGACAAATACATTTTCTTCTTTCCTGTGAAAAATACAATATCAGTTTTTCTATATTTTAGATTAAATAAGATTATGAATCAGGTGGCCATTCAGCGGAAGAAGCAGTTTGTTGAACGAGTGCACAGTTACTGGTTGCTTAAAAGACTATCTAGGAATGGTGTTCCTCTGTTGCGAAGATTGCAGTCCAGTTTACAGTCACAAAGAAACACACAACAGGTATGTGACACACTTTTTACGTTTAAGAAGAAATCAGAAAATCTGTGGTTTTTAGAGTACAAGATTAACCAGGAAACATAGCATGGGGTGAAAACTTCCTCGTATTCAGGACTGAGTAAATTCTTTGCCTTATTATTGAGTAATATGACATATATCGTAAATTGGGCATTACGTAATCTTTTTTAATTTGTGAGATAAGGGAAGAAAAATTGTGTGGGTTTTTCTTTTGTTTTGCTTAAATGTTTCAGAAGAATGCTGTGAGCAAAACTATTCTAATACCATTGTTCATTGACTAGTATTGTGGTTTTTCAGAGCTCATTCCTCAATGTGCTCTGAGTTAGTAAGATAAAAAATAAATTTGATTTTAAACGTATCAAAAGATGCAAAGCAAATATTGTTCTTTGACACTTATAATTGAGAAAAATGGGGACTTTTACAGAGTAAAGGTTAGACATGCTAGTTTTCGAATTCTGATCCTTATTGCCAATTCCGATCCTTATTGCCCACCTTGTGTGGTGATAACAGAACAAAGAGCAAGTTGTTGATTAAGTTCAAAGACCTGTTTGAGCTTTTAGTTTCACTTTTGACATAGTTAAGTGGGATAGTAGACAAGCATAAATTTATGGTGATATTTTGTTCAAGTAAAAATCATCCTAGCTAAAATATGTCTAGGTTGGTTAAAGATGTCCACATTTACCAGTCAGAATTGCTGAAAAACAGTCATTCTAGATGTGTATCGGGTCAGAAAGCGGTACTCTTCAGCTTCCTGTTTTTGTAATATGAACACTGCTTCCCATTTTTGTAGAATGAACAGCTCTTCAGTGACAGAGGTTTTGGCAAGTCTTTTGTTGTTTTAGTTTCAAGTCACTGGGTAGCTTCAAAAATAATTAAAACTTATTTTCTGAATTCTGCATATGGATCCATGTGTGTAGACCTTGAAATGCTGTGAAGCAGCATGATGTGGAAATTTTTACTGCATCTCAGTTTCCTTTTTTTTTTGTTGAGCTGAAAATGTAGTGTTCTTTCTGTTCTCCAGGTGTTTTACTTCCAGTGGAATTGTTCCTGTAAAATGGCATCTAGAACTTAAGAATGCGTTTTATCATTTACTTGTATTACATTGAGATTTTTTTTTTTTCCTTTAAAGAGTAATTATTTTTTTTGTTTGAATTGCATTGGTATTTACTGATTGTCATTGATGTAGTCATAAAAATGCCATGGTCAGCACTGCTTCCTGATTATTTGATCTGTCATTTTTTTGTGCGTTTCGTTTCTTTACTTTTCATGAAAATAATCAGTAATTCCCAGAACAGTTGAGGATGGAAGGGACCTCTGGAGGTATCTGGTCCAACCCACTGCTCAAGCAGGGCCAATTAGAGCCAGTTGCCCAGGCCCATGTCCAGATGGCTTTTGAAGTTCTCCAAGGGTGGAGACTCCACACCCTCCCTGGGCAACCTGTGCCAATGCTCAGTCACCCTCATTTTCTGATGTTCAAAGGGGCCCTCCTGTGTTTTCACTTTTTGCCCATAGCCTCTGGTCCTGTCACTGTGCACCACTGAAAGGAGCATGGCTCTGTCTTCTTTGCACCCTCCCTTCAGGTATTTATATACAATGATGAGATATGCCCACTCTCATAGCTGAGATGCTCAAATTCCATTTAGGTGGATTCCTTTTAGGTGGAATTAACTTTTGAATATAAATTGGCCACTTGTTTATCTTTCATAGTTTCTGTATTACTCCATTTTAATACTGTTTTTTGGGTTTTAACTTCTCTCAAATATTTTGTATTCTACTTCTAGTCTTTGATTAATCTTTTAATTCTGTATGAGAAGTTTCTATTCTGGAGAGTGGTGCCTGGCAGTTACCTAATAAGGGCTGAAATTAATTTATTCAGATACTAGACTTTTTAAATGAGCTTGAGTCCTTAAAAATAATCAAGCACTAAAGTCCAGTGCTCATATGGCGGTATAGACCTAGACTATAGTTAGTGTCTGAAAAAATTATACTTGCTAGTTGGTAGTTGGGAAGTACTTTCCCTATTGAGACTGCAACATTTTAAAATGTTTAAATAATAACTACCAAAATAAAACAATTCTTATAACTGATGTTTGGTTATAATAAAATAAGCCTTAGATAGGAGCTGTTTAAAATCCCTTTGGCTGTTTGCACTTCTGTGCAAACAGTATTTCTTTCTTTTCTAATTTCAGAACTACATGCTATTCTTAAGTAAGAAAATAATTAAAATATTTTCTAAATTAATTGGAAACTATATTGGTTTATTAAAAACTGAGGCATTTTTGAGGCTTTACTCTTAAAAACTTAGAATTGAAATTAACTTTGTCCTTTGGAAAGAAAAAGCAAATTTCAAGCAAAGCTGAGTATGAAATGATTCTGTTGATGGAAAATGTGTAGGTAGTGCTTTTCAGTGAGTAGCAAGTGTCTTGTGTATGACATGTGTCTTCTCCATAGCATATTCAATATGTATTTATAATACCTATTAAAAGTAGTTGTAACTGCAAAACATTTGATGTATTAGTCATTTTCGTTACTCCAAGTATGAGCCAAACCATAATGGAGACTTTAATAAACAGCTGTGGCACTGCTGTTGTGAGAACACGTGAAAAATTTTTAGATAACTATTTTGTTCATTTTTGTCTAAATGTGAAAATTCTTTTTACCTTATTTTATGTGAGAGGTCAAAACCTCAAGAAACCTGAGTAGGTTTTCAGCCAATCAAAGGAACATAAACACTGGTGTATACAGATCCAGAGGAGATTTTTTTAAAAAAAAATATTTAAACTGAAAAGAAATGTTAAGACGAGGAACCAAAACCCTGAAAGTGGTTTCAAGATGCGTAGTAGAAGGTAGTTTTGATCCCTCTCTAATGTTCGTTTACTAGAACAAATTTGGCAGGAGGGGAAGCGTTCATGATTTAGAATTACTTCCCAATGAATGTGTTTCAGAGGTCAGGTATGATATGCTTTTGAAGGTGATGTTAGATCAACTAACAGTTCTAAACCAGGCAGGAAGATCTTGGCTTGTATACTAACTATCTCACCATCTGCAGGAACAAGGAACCCTCTGAAAGAATGATTTATACTATCACTTCTCTCTCTACCTAGAAATTCGGGAAAGGTATTGGAAATACTCTAATAAATTTACATCCCCATTCTAGTTTTTTTCTGTACTTAATGCTTGAATAAAAATAAAAATTTAAGTGTTGTAGCTTGTTGCTGCTGTAGCGCGGTTGGTTTAAAACCACTGTTCGGAGAAACAAAATAGAAGATGCTGGTGACGAAGGTCCCATCTGCACTGAAGATTTCAATAAGAGCACAAGTTGCAACCACTAAATGGTTTTTACTGATTGGCATACAAGTGCCAGCAGAGTCTTAATAAAACTAATTGTATTGATCAAGGTCCAATTTCATCACTGCAATTCTGTTTTTGTTTGGCTCATATTAAGTTACAGTCCCTATAGGGACTGAGGCTGTCCCCATGTATTTACATCCAGCATAAGGAGCGATCTGTTGGTACACTGCTGGTTTTCCTGCTAGTATGCAGAGACTGGTATCATAGTCATGGTGGGAGTTGGAGCTGAAGACCAGTTCTCAGTTGATGCTGCTTCTGGGTGTAGATTTGGAAGTGTTTCCCCTCTTCCCTCAGTATTACTAAATGTGTCAGGTTTAGCTTTTCTATATAAGATTTGGTGTTCAGCAAGAACTAAATCCATCAGAAAATACCGGAGTTTGTTTCTGAATTTTTCTTACGTCACCACCCAGAAGAAACTTTTTGGCTTTGTTACAGGAAGAAAGATTTGGAAGAGCAACTCTTTACTAGGAAGTTAATAGAAACTTCCTTGTCAGAAAGCTTTTGAAAACTAAAAAATTTTGAAAGGAACTCTTTTTTTAACCAAATTTTCACTAGTTAGATATTGCAAACCAGTACATCATGCTTTTTTCAGCTTGTCTGGATCTTTTAATCTAACTAAGGTATATGTTGTATGTCAGGTAATAAATAGGTTAGGGTAAAGGGCGTTAATCTTAGCTATTATAACTGTGTCTGCCGACATTACTTTGCATAGAAGTGTCGAAAAATTGGAGGCTTGCTATTAATCCCCAAGCCGGCATGACATTCAAGAAGGGAGTATGTGTGTACACAAAAAAAGCAAACAAGGTGCACTTGATACTTTGGGTCACATCTGCAGATTTACACCTATCTGCCTATTTTATGGAATGAAATTGGTCAAACAACTGATTCAACTAAATTTTTTTTTTTTTTTAAAAGTGCAACTGCACCTTCAGTTTTAGCCAAATACTTGTCTCTAACGAACCACCCCAACACCTCCTGTAACAAAGTAATGTTTTTTTTTCTTGCTGTATTTAAGTTTCCTGACCCACCCTAAAACTAGTATGGTTTTGTTGACTTAGCGTTCTTTTTAGTTCCCCAGTTTCATGAACCATGCAACTACATAGGGCAAAGTAGCGGGCTCTGAATGGCTGCCGGCAAAGGGAGTTCAAGCCTTCCACTTTTAGCAAGAGCCACAGCTTAACTGTGGTCTTGAAAAACAGTGAAACTGAAAAAATTGTATAGTTCTGTCAGTTAGCAGTTAGGTTGCTTTTGCACACATGGGATCGGTACGCAAAGATGAAGGGGTGTGGGAGATCAGCAATTAATGGCAATGTAGGCTTTCTAATTCGGTGAGTCTCTGAGAATTTTAAGGAATTGAAAATGTGCATATTAATATTTTTTCTATCAAAATTTGCTTTGAACTATTATGACCTTCAACGGTTAAATTATTAGGTGTCTACATCAAGACTTAACTCCTTAAAAGAAATTGTAACTGTCAGTAGTAATAGTCATTAGGAAAAGGAACTAGAAGTTTCTAGCTACAATTTTTGGTCCTTTTTTGTGGTGTGTTTGTTTGTTTTCTGTTTTTTGCAAAAGAGGAACGAACTGTAGTTTCCAGATTTGCTATATTGTAATATAGAGATAGTTGATAGTTAAGGATTTTCAACTTCAGTGAAGTCAGAGATTTGAGTAAAACCAGTATCATGGCTTCCACAGGTACTTGCCTTTACTTTTAACAAAGTGCATATAGCAGTAAAAGACAATGCAGATCATAGAATCATAGCACTCCCAAATCTGTCAGATTTTTTTTTTTCTTGAACTGCCAGTTTTTGCAATTCTGGTTTTAGAACCTTCTGTCTGAAAAATTGCACAAGCTTCCTTTAGAGGACCTACGCTATTTCTGAATTATCCTTCTGTTAAGGAGATTTTTGCTTTGAGTGTAACAGTTTTAATATTGGTTATTGTTCATCTGCTCAGCCAGTTTTCTTTATTGTTCTGTATTTTTTAAAAGTTATGGAATTTATTGTCTGTTTTAGTTTTAAAAAAAAAAGCAAACACATGTCACGATTACTTATCAAGTGTATATTGTGTTATGCTAGTTACAAGCAAGTGTACAAAGCTTTAGATCTCTTTCTGAGATTCTTTTATAAAATACTCATTTAAAATGTAATAATTTTCCAAAGCAGATGTTTCTTTTCTGTCCTTGGTACTAATATCAGAACTTTTGCTTTTATGGCCTTGTTTCTGGTGGATTACCAGTAGCATTTGAATATTATGTGTAATATTCCAATATCTTCCTTTTTGTTATGAAAAATAGTAAAAAAAAAAAAAAACAAACCAAGAAAGGCTCTGGTTTTGTTATGTAAAAATCAAGCTAAACACTGCAAGTGTTTAAACACTACTTGCTCCTAAAAATGTATGAATTAAATTCTTTCATCCGTTCACTGAAAGGTTGTATTACTGCATTACGCATTTGCGGTACCATTTGAAGTTACTATATTATTTAATAAATTGCTTTTAATTTCCTGTCCTCAAGTCATAATGCTTTTCTTCTGTTACAAGTGTGTCCTGTTTCATCTGGGTGCGGGGGAGGTGGACTGTGTTGAGCACAAGAAGAATTTGTTTCTTCCAGGCTTGAGTTTCTGAAGAAGCTGATGATGTTCACCTCATTTGGATTTTTGATGTGAAAATACTGAATCTTATTTCACAGCTTGTTATACTGCTAGGTTGCTGTTTGCTATATTGCTTTTTCTGATGTAAACAGCCTTCACTATAGAACTGCTTTCCAGTTTATAGGTTTTGTTTTCAGCTAGATGGTTGAGAAACTCTAGAAGATACTCTGACTCTTGTTGCAATATGAAGCTTACAACCAAGTGCCGTAACTATAAGACAGTAGTTTCTCCTTTCCTTTGAATACGTTCTGTAATTGCATATAACTAGCTTGTAAAAAGAGGTTAGCGTTTTTCATTTCATGAAAACCTTTTGATTCTTTTCTTAGAGAGAAGATGATGAAGAAATGCAAGCCTTGAAAGAAAAACTGAAGTACTGGCAAAGGCTGCGGCATGATCTTGAAAGAGCACGTTTGTTGATTGAACTTATACGTAAGCGTGAAAAATTAAAAAGAGAACAGGTAAATGGAATACCTTTTAATTTGGTTAAACTTTACTGACTGAAAGATAGTTTAAGTATTCTCACACACAGTTGTTGCAATAGAAAGACTGTAGTGTTTGTGTCTTAATCCTTATGTAGGCTCAAGAAACATACATGCATGTCCTCAATCACATAAACTGTTTGAAATATATGCGATTATCATAGAATCACAGAATAGTTTGGGTTGGAAGGGACCTTTAAAGGTCGTCTAGTCCAACCCTCCTGCAATGAGCAGGGACATCTTCAACTCGATCGGGCTGCTGAAAGCG